CTCAATCAGAGACTGATTTCTTTTATGGGATTGGGAGTGCTTAGCTTTGGAAGTAGTTGTTGAATTTTCCCTGATGTGGGCTGATGAGGAAAGACTAGTTCAGTGGAACTGTCTGCATCCTTTCTTGGGGCCAGGTAACCTCTGGACTCTAGAAACTCTTGCAATATTTTCTTTTCAGCTTTGTACAAAGACCTTTCACCTGACTAAGACAGCTGGCTACAAATCTAGCATCCCCAGAGCATTCCTGAGTTTCCTTAGCTGAGGATAAGATGGATATATCTTACTTTTATATTTACTGAGCTTTTGACTATTCCAGAATAGCAAACAAACTATTACTATTAGTATCATCCTGAGTCTTCTAGGAGATTGTCTCCATATTCTTATTTCATCTGTGTATAAAGAACTATGCAGAAAAAAAAATTCATTTTGAATAAACAAGTAATATGTGATGTGAAACTCCATAATTTGTGATGTAATTACTAATTACCAAATATTCTGACTTCACAAGACCAGATCGGTATGTTTGAGATATTAATGTGTGTTAAATTCAAAGTTACTGGATTGCCACTTGCTACTTTGGCTCTTGCTCTGACATTATTGCCAACCCTGACTAGATTGCTTAATAGTTCCATTAATTTCTAATATCCAGCATGAATCCAGACGAGAGGATCTGCTCCTTATAAAGTGTGAGCATTAGCCTTAAATTATGTACTTAAATTCATTCACAGGTCAAATTCTGTAAAATGGAGTGCATGCTGTAGCTTGTTCCATCCAGTCAGAATTTTTACCTTTTACATGCTTACATGTGTAACAAGTTCCAAAAAAGGTGCTAACAACTTGCAGAGCAACAAATGAGAAGATTGTGCCAAGCACAAGTTCATAAATGCTTAATGAAATACAGTTTTAAAACGTGTTTCCTGCCATGTGAGATCTCTCTTAAAAAACCCAAAATATTCAGCCAAAGGGAAAGAAAGGACAAAACATAAAAGCTGTAGTTCACTGGTGGATTTTGTTACCATCTCTAGGGTAAATGTGGCCTAAACCACTGATGGACTGAGGAAGAATTGTGTCATATTCTGCTTCTTTTCAGTCCCTTCTGAACTTTGCTAGCTACAAGTGCAGCAGAAAGGAATTTTTTTGCCATTGTACAGTAATTGAAGAGACAAATGCGTAAGACTAAACTGAGAATGAAGTGAAAGGACACAGTAAAGAGCTGCAAACATGCCGTTTAGAACTCACAGCCAGTTGTGCAAGGCATCACTTATCATGATAAAATCATGATGAATTTCATACAAACCACATTTTTTTACTTCTTTTGCTGTTTAATTTTTTGAGTAATTTAACATTTTAGGCCCAGAGATCTTCTAATGCACCTGTCTTATCTGAAAGGCATCTCAATAATTGGTTTTTAGGTTTAGACAAGTAGGAATAATAGGAAAATATCTCCTCCAGCAAATACATACTTCTTAGCTGTGCATTAGGTAGGGAACAAAGTTAGCTGTTTTGAAAGTCTAGTTGCATCTTTATTAAAATTGCCTTTCCCCTTTCTTCTGCATTTAAAATATCTGTCATATCCTTAGGTGGTTGATTGTTTTTGTGTTGTTTTTTTAATCTCCTACAGGTATCCATGTTCTGTGGAGGAATCTGAAATAGCTGCTTTTGCTACCTTGATCAGGAGCTGAAAACATGGATGGACAGAACAGAGCTGTGTTCAGAAAAGGTTTGGAAACCCTTTGTTTAATTCTGTTCCTCTCCTCTTGCTCTAAAGAGTGATGGTGTTATCTGGTGCTGTTACAGTAGAGTCTGAACTAAATATGTTTTGAGCACCTCACTTTTTTGAAGTTGCAACGCTTGAAGTCCTTAGCATTATGTGTAATCTGGTCCCTAAATATCAGATGTGGGTGGATTTCCAAGTGTGTTGTTATTGTTCTAGAATGCTATGCAGTTTAGTTGATATTGTCCAATTAAAAAGAAAAAAATAAATAAATTTGGATATGCCAGAAGGTATATAATCAGGAAATCGCCTGAACACTAAGTTTCTACCATGTAAAGGTTACAAATACTAAGGTGAAACCAATGCCTTCTAAATATGTTGGTTCACTAGCCAAAGGCTACATATAGTGAGTTTCAATAATACATGTCTTTTCAGAAGTCTTCATTTACATTGTAGTGTATATATGTCCAGAACTAGGAGAAGTTGGTCAGCATAGTTTCATGATGGAGATTTCTCCATCCTTTGTGTCCATACTGGTAAACCTATGTTGGTTGAAGAACATAATTTTGGGTTGGAGGTGAAGATAATTTCTAAAACTATTTCCAGTATAGTTTGTTGAATGCTTATAAAGTCTGCCAATGAATTAAGCCGTGGAACTATAAAAACGAAATGTTGCTTCAATATGTTTTCATATTCTCACTTTAATCATAACTGTAATTTTAAGGGAGATCATAACTTAAAAATTCTTACTCTGAAGAGTATGTTGCTCTGTGATTTTTAGTGATTTTTAACATGGTTAGTCCAGATTAAAGCATTCCCCAGTGTATGGGTAGAAAGATCCTGTCCCTGATATTTAGGGCGTAGCCTATTGGAAGATATTTGCAATTTTAATTTTTAAATTATTAAAAATGGGTAGCATGGCATATAGCTTACTATAAAATTGTAAATAACTTAGCAAACAAAGATGTGACAGTCTTTTTCTCCCTTTAATCCATTTTCTCTTCCCCCTCTAAGTAAACTTCCTCCATTCTTTCTCATTATATAAACTGAGTTTTTAATGGTTCCTGCAACCATTTTCTTGAAAAACTGAAGAGAAGCTGGAGTTGCATGCACAATATATACAGCTTGTTTTTCTCGTAATCAGGCTTTATTTCATGTGTCTGCACCATGATGTGGTGATTGAGTACACCCTCAGTGAGTTGATGACATCAAGTTGAGTGGGAGTGTTGATCTGCTTGAGGGTAGGAAGGCTCTACAGAGGGATCTGGACAGGCTGGATCAATAGGCTGAGGACAACTGTATGAGGTTCCACTAGGCTCAGTGTTGGGTACTGCACTTGTGTCACAACAACCCCAATGCACCACAATGGGCGAGTGGCTGGAAAGCTGTCCAGAGGGGAAGGACCTGGGAGCGTTGGTCAACAGCTGGCTGAATATGAGCCAGCAGTGTGCCCAGGTGGCCAACAGCATCCTGGCCTGTATCAGGAATAGCATGGCCAAAAGGAGCAGGGAAGTTAATTGTGTCCCGTACTTGGAACTGGTGAGGCCACATCTTGAATCCTGTGTTCAGTTTTAGGCTGCTCACTACAAAAAGGATGTTGATGTGCTAGAGCAGAGAAAGGTGCTGGTCCAGAGAAAGGCAATGAAGCTGGTGTAGGGTCTAGAGAACAAGTCCTGTGAGGAGTGGCTGAGAGAACTGGGGATGTTTAGCCTGCAGAAAAGGTGACTGAGGGGAGACCTGATCACTCTCTACAACTATCTGAAATGAAGGTGGATATGGGTCTCTTTTCCCAAGTAACAAGGAATGGAACAAGAGGAAATGGCCTGAAGTTGCAGCAGGGGAGGTTTAGTTTGGATATTAGGAAAAATTTCTTCACCAAAATGGTCGTCAGATACTCAAATTGGCTGCCCAGGAAGTGACTGAGTCACCATCCCTGGAGATAATAAAAAAACCCACATGTAGATGTAGTGCTTAGGTGTATGGTTTAGTGGTGGACTTAGCAGAGCTAGGTTAACAGCTGGATTTGATGATCCTAAAGGCGTTTTCCAACAAAAATATTCTACAATTCTATGGTGGTTACAACACAAATACTGTTGTGACAAGCATCTTGACTGTGGTTTTTTGATGGGATCTCCCTTCTATGCCCTTGATTCATGTAGATTCAATTCTCAGGGAATGTCTACAGTAATTGTTGTATTTGGATATTTTATTGTTTTCCCTTAGCTTGACAGTAGTCAGCAAGAAATTATGGGGTGGTCACAAAACTTTACAGATTTCAGCAGCAAATTGTTGCAGCAAAAGCTTCACTGTGCAATAGACAGAGGTTCAGTAACAGGCAATATAATAGAGGAATTAAGAGGTGAATTGAGTTCATCATCTTGAGGTTTTCTTGGGATAAAAAAAAATCTTTCATTCCAGAGCTAACTTCTGTATCAAGAGAGTGGTTATAAACTGCAGTGTCTGATCCCAAATTTCTGGCTTAAAAGTTCAGACCTGGCCACAACAGGCCACAAAATTGCCTTAAAAAGTCCAAGAAATGTAAAGGGGGGGATTCCTGGCCATCAGGGAGCTGTGCATGAGAACTTACTGGGTGCTCCAACAAAATTAAGTACCTAAAGGTTATTTTAGCCAGCACAGATTAAAGGAATCCCCCATATATCAGTGGTAATGAGAACCAAAAGGAGTACTTAAGGTATCTTCTGCCTCCTTGCTTTCTGTTCTTTGTATACTCTGCTTAGGATTCAGCCCTCCTGGTTAACTACACACATAAGAATGCACAAAATAATATCCCATTGAGAAAGTGAATATTCCAAATGTGGACTTATATAAGAAGTGTACAGAAAAAGAATGGCATTCCCTTGTCTGTTAAGTGAGGTAATAAAATAATTACATAAATGAATGTAGAATGGTGTAACAGGCATGCTTACAACTCTGAGTACAAGCCAGACAGTG